TTGTGCAGGGAGAAGGGTGCAACAATGAATGAATGGAATCCCAAAATCTCTGTAGATGTTCATTGAAATGAAAAATAAACAACCTAAATTAAAAAGAAAAAAAAAAGGATATACAGAGCAAGAGACACTAACTTAACAGTCTCTACATCTAAAAATTAGTGACACTGATTGTATTCTTGGAGTTGTGCAATCATTCTCATGTTCCTTTTCTCAGTGCTCCTCCCTCAACTCATTGCTCCCTAAGGTTCTTATCTAACCTTTTAGAACTGCTGATTCCAGGTAGATAGTTTTGAAAATTAGCATAACATCCAATGCAGACTTTTTTTTTTATCTAGTTAAGCTTAATGAGGAAACTTTGAGGTGATGGAAATGTGCTGAATCATGACTGTGATAGTGGTGCCATGAGTGTATTTTCATCTGTTGAAACTTACCACAGAGAACTATTTAAATTTCGTCTATTTTATTAAATGTCCATTTAATATCCTAATAAACTTGACTTCGAAATTAATCACTCTCTAAAGGCAGCACTCGCATTTAATGTTAATCTATTTCTTTGTTATGATCTTAAAATACAAGGGATCAATTATGATACAAAGATAGAACACACACACACACACACACACACACGTAATTACTGCTGCTTACCAATTCTGGAAGAGGGCAAACAGTTCCAGTATTCATATATAATCCCTCCACTACAATGAAACGTCGAGTTACCCGAGCCTTTCGTGGATTCTTTAAAAGAAAAACAAACCAAAAAAATATAAGCTCATACATCTTAACAGTCTGTCAAGTAACTCCAATACTTAGCACTTTAATTCTATAAGATATATGAATCAAACCATAAACAATCCATATGAGTTTAAAAATCAAGCTTTGAGATTTGGTTGATTCGACACTCAAACACTGGTGGAAAAACAAGTGACCTCATACACAAAAAATGTCCAATGTTGCTGGATTGATTCTGAATCATAGTTCTGAAGGCCTAGTGGTAAGAAGCAACAGCACTGCAATCACAAAGGCACACAGTTTCAACCCACCAGCTGTGACATGGGAAAAGAATGGGCAATCTCCTCTCCTGTAATTTATTGTCTCTGAAAACCTGCTGGAGTATTAGCTATTAGTCAGTTCTAACACGATGGCACACAACAACAATATAATGACCATACAAGATAGAGCAGAGATTGTCCCAAAGGGAAGTATCAGCTATTAGTTCTAACACAATGGCACACAACAATATAATAACCACACAAGACAGAGTAGTGACTGTCCCAAATGGTTTCTAATGCTGTAAGTTGTTATTGAAGTTGAGTTTGAAGTTCTAACCTTTTCATTCACTTACTCATTACTGCTGAGTTGCAACTGATCCTCTATCAAGTTTTCAGGAGGCTGTGAATCATACAGGAAGGAATTGCCCATCTTTCTCCCAGTGAGCCAGTAGTGGATTTCAACCTCTAGAGAGGTATGCAACTCCCTATGAACTATGTGACCACAACTCCCTGACCTTTTGATTCTCTCTTTCACTGACAGTGAGTAGGAACTGATTCACACCTGATCCTCTAGTAGGTTTTCAGAGATGTAAATCATATGATAAAAGACTGTCCATCTTTTTCCCTTGGAACAGTGGTGGATTTGGAATGTTTGCTTTTGTGTTGACAGTACAATTCTTTATTAACTAAGCCACCAGAACTTTGATCTTTTGATTGTTACGATATACCTATCATCCAGAGGCAGTTTAGCTGCACAGGAAATTGCCCGTTTTTCTTTTGTAGAGCACCTGGAGGATTTGAATCATGTGCCTTTGGGATAGCAGTGCAGCTCCAGACCACTAGGCCACCAGAATGTGCTGATTTTTTTTTATTGTTGCTATGTATTGTTGAGTTAAAACCAACCCATAGCAGGTTTCAGAAGCAGTTTAACTGCATGGAAGATTTCTCATCTGTCTCTCACAGCAAAGCTGAAGGATTCAAACTGCATACCTTGGGGGGGGGGGCAATACATCTCCTTACTATATTAAGCTACCATAGCTCCCTGACCTTCTTTTCATTGTTGTCATTAGGTGTCATCAAGTACAGCCCATAGCAACCGTATGAACAGCAGACCTTGAACCCTGCCCCATTCTGTGTCATACTTATCATCTGACACCTTAGAGAGCCCACTGATGAAGTCACTTTGTCAATCCATCTCCTTGGGGGTTTCCTCTTTCACTGACCCTCCATCTTTGCAAGCATGTTTCTTTCCAAGGAAGAGCCTTATGCGCAAAGTATTGAAAAACAAAGTTCACAATCTTTGCCTTCGAGGAACACTATGGATGCACTTTTTCTAAGACATTTCTTTGCTCTTTTGGTAGTCCTTGGAATATTCAGTACTCAAAGGCCTGAATAAGTCTTCTGTCATTCTTATTCATTGTCCAGCAATTTGATTGAGAAGATTATTGCCTGAATCAGGCACACTTTAGTCTTCAAATTGACATCTGTTCTCCAGCATTATGGAGAAACTCCTGACAGTGTATGTGTCTAATGCAGGATGTCTCCTGATTTCAAGAATGCCAGTATCAAAGATGATGAGGTTTGAAACGAGAGGGAGAGGGAGAGGGAGAGGGAGAGGGAAACAAACACACACTGACTTGAGAACCCTGCACACAAGCGGGAAGCCCTGATCTAATCTCCTGACACTTAGAGACAAAAGAAGACATTAAGCTCCAGGTGAAAAGGTGAATGAGGAAATGCTTGAGTAGAGCACCTGGTTTCACAACACCCTGCCACATCACACATGAAGGAGAGTTGGTGCCAGAACAATACTTCAAGGAAAAATTCCTACAGGCCTGCAGTGCAGAAGTGAGAGAACCTCAAGGAATTCAGGAAAGGCAAATTTCCCCAGAAACCATTTACAGTTGAGTGAATCGTTCACCCCATAGACTGATTATTGGAATTTGGCGATTAATTAGCAGCATTATAAAAGGTAAGAACCACCATCAAATTTCACAGACACAATAGAAACGACCTAACACTTAACAAGAAAAACATCACATAATGTCAAGAAAGCGGCAGGCAGCTTCAAACACTGTGAAAAAACAAATTAAGCCTTCTCCAAAATAAGTAGAGAATATTAGAGACTGAATGCAAACCTAAGAGTCAAGAAGGCAAATGATACATATTGATATGGAGACATTTGAACATGTACGATGGAAGAAACAGTGGAAGCCACAAGTAAAGACAATGCCCTAGAGGCAGAGAACAAGAAAAAAAAATATGATGAAGAGGTATTTAAAAGCTATGGAAGAAGCTGCAAATGACTGAAACCTAAGAAACTAAGAAAGCAAATGTTCCAGAAAGACAGAGCCAGAGAAATATACTGATGAGGAGGAACATGTGCAAACATAGAAGAAAATGCAAAAAAAGAAAGAAGGAACTGAAAATAAAGATGAAGAGGTACAAGAACTTGAAAAATCATCACAGGACAGAAAGGGTACTAACAACACAATACTAGAAATAACAGAAAGGCATGAAAATGGAATCCAAAATATTAAGATGGAAATAGCAGAACTATCCAACATGCTTAAAGGGCAAAAAGGTAGAATATAAGAGATGGAGAACAGGGTGAGACAGAGGACAAGAACCTCAATGGAAATATACTAGAAGAAAAATCAGAGATGATACCTAAAGAAAATGAAGAAAACATTAGAATCATGAGGGATGACATCAAAAGGAATAACATATATATGAGCAGAATTCCAGAATGAGAGGGATAAGGAAATCACTAAGAAAATTGTGGAGGAGGTACTAGGAGAAAACTTCCCAGGTATTATGAAGAACCAGGAAATAGACATTCAGGAAGCTGAGTGAACACTAAATGGACTAGACCCTAAAAGGAAAACATCAAGACATAACATAGTCAAATTCTCCAAAATAAGATAAGGATAGAATACTGAAACCAACATCAGAAAAACAAAGAGTCACCTACAATGGAAAAACAATGAGATTCCATTCTGATTTTTCAGCAGAAACCATGCAAGCAAGAAGACAATGGGATGGCATATAAAGTTGAAAGAAAACAAATGCAAACCCAGAATCCTGTACATAGCAAAGCTCTTCATCAAATATGAAAGAGCAATAACACACTTTGAAGAAAAATAAAGAACTTAAGGAATTTGTGAAAACAAAACCAAGTCTACAAGAACTTTTAACGGAACTCCTTCACACAAAGACACCAAAGGCAAGTGGATGAACCATAGTAACAAGAAACAACAAAAAACCAAACAGTAAAATGGCAATGGTAAAACCTGGCCTGTCAATAATCACATTTAATGGGAATGGACTAAATGCACTAATCAAGAAAAAAAAGAGTAGCAGAATGGATAAAAAACAAAGTTCATCAAGATGTTGTCTATAACAGACACATTTAATAAACAAAGAGAAAGACAGACTCAAAATCAAAGTCTTGAAAAAAAGTATACCAAGCAAATGGTAACCTCAAAAAAAAAGGCCGGGCGCAGAGCTGGGGCAGGCTGGGCGAGCCCACGGCCATGGCCCCGTGGCTGCAGCTCTGCTCTGTCTTCTTCACGGTCAACACCTGCCTTAACGGTTCGCAGCTGGCCGTGGCCACGGGTGGTTCAGGACGCGCTCGGGGCACCGACACTTGCGGCTGGAGGGGAGTGGGGCCACCCAGCAGGAGCAGTGGGCTGCACAACATCACCTTCAGATATGACAGCTGCAACACTTCCGTGATACATCTTCAAGGATATGAATGTGTATGGCTAAGCACAATTGATAACAGTGCATCTAAATTCCAAAATCAATCTCCATAATAGTCTATGTGTTTCCTACTGCCAAGGGGGCCCTTTAGAGTAGTGAGAGAAGACATTCACCCTGAAACCCACAGCATGCCTTTTCAGCAGGAAGTAGCTAAGAGAATACGCCATCCCCTTTTCCTTATGAATCAGGGTGAAGTCTCTCTCAGGGAGGAGTGATAGGGAATGGCAAGGGACACACTGACAAAGGAGACTAATCAGAACTGGCTTTGACAAGCACTGTGGCAACTGGACAATTAAAACAGACATGGGGGGGGAGAAGAACGAACTGGGGAGGAGGGTGGAGAAAACAGGGCAACAATGAATGAATGAAAACCCAAAATCTCTGTAAATGTTCATTAAAACTAATAAAATGTAATAATAAAAAAAGCAGGAGTGGCAATAATAATCTGACAAAGTAAACTTCAGAAAGAAAATCACCATGAAAGATAAAGAAGGGCACTATATTAATGACTGAAGGTACAGTAGATCAAAAAGACATATCATTCGTCAGTATCTATGCACAAAATGATAGACTGCTAAATACATAAAACCACTGTTAACAGAATAGAAGAAATAAAAAGACATCACCACAATAGTGGTAGGATACTTTTACACACCACTCTCGCCAAAGGATAGATCAACTCAAAAGCAACTTAAAAGACATGCAGAAGACCTAAAGTACAAAGTCTGCCAACTTGACCTAGTGGATGCATTCTGAGTTCTGAAACCAACTGAAACTCAATTCACTTTCTTCTCAAATACACAGTAAATTCTCCACAATTAGGACACACTTATTAGAACATAAAGCAAGCCTCAACAAATTTAAAAAACATTGAAATAATACAAAGTATCTTCTCAGACCACAATGCCATAAAACTAGAAACTAACCAAAAGAGGATAAAATTCATAAAGCTACCAATGTTGAACCTAAATAGCACCCTGC